AATCCTTTGTCCCATCTCACTGGGAGAAACAGATATCCACTAGCACTGGTGCCTTCCCCAGCCCTTATTTCGTATCAGAGAGCTGCAGAGCACAGAAGCATGAATAGGCACTGTATTCCTAGCGAGAAAGAAAATGTTTTTGTGGCCATTTTCAATAGAAGGGATGCTGTGGGGTGTAAAGCAGCTGTAAGATGTTGGTCTTATATGAAAAGCACTTTTCCTGTTATCTGATCGTCTTCAGGGACACTACAGGTGTTTTTTGTGGCAATCAGGGCTATTGCATAAGTATGGGGATAGGTACAGCAAACACGATTGTTTTCCATCATATCCTTTCAGGCACCAACTGGAAGACAGCCATGCTGGTCCTCAGCCCCTTGGCATTCATACTGGGATTAATAATACTGACACTCAATGTCCATTACAACAAGTAAGTTGAGATTTAGATTCATTCAGTTTGACACTTCCCTGTACAGCATTTCAAAACGGAAGTCTTGGTCTTGGCACCCTTCCCCATTCAGATGGGTCTGCTCACCCATGAGGTCACCCTTGATGATTTCTCCTCTTTGCCACCCTGCTCCTCCCTCTCACTCAATTCCACCCAAACACACTCAATAACGCTGGCTCCTCCTCTCCTGCACACTTCATGCCATCCCTGAAGGCTTAGGCAATGTGGGCACTGTGGTTGCTGAACCAGTTGACATGGAGAAGCAACCATGTGACAGGCAGATGCAGTTATGTACCCTCTTCTCTCTTCTCTTAGGAAGAAGAAAATCCTCTCTGCTCTGAAGAGCTCCCCAGCCAACAGCAGCAGAGCTGACTTACGGGAACCATCTCCCTTACAAAGAGGTCCCCGGACGTACCTTCCACCATCTCGTTCACCTTCCCTGAGGCGTGGAGAGATCCTCATCGAGTGGAAAGATGGGACTGTCACTCCTCTTTTTGATAATGCCAATTATCAAATGGACTAGCTCCAAACCAACAGAGCTGTTGTTCCATGCTGTGTCACCCTTCCCACCAGGAAGAGAGACACCACTGCCAATCTCCTCCCCAGCCTTGCTGTTTTGACAGGGAGTTGTAAACACTGTTTGGGGATTTTTTTAACACTTGAGAACAATCTCCTTGCACAGCACGAGGTTGAAACAAGCAGAGCAGATTATTTGGTTCATATAGACACATGCTGCTTAGCTCTTCCAGAGCTGTTTTAACCCATAACAAAACCCAGATTTAGCTAAATGAAGCCAGGACTCTTGCCAGTGCAACTGTCCTTTGCCCTTAAATTAAGAGTTACTGAGCATATAAGAAACTAAATCCTTGGAGACGAAGTGCAAGCTGAAAAACAGAAGTCCTGATGATCCTTAAATCCTTTTTAAGCTAAAACTAGGTGCCAACAGGCACAGAAGGCTGTCAGTTACTCTGTCAGTGTGAGAACATAACTAATAAGCACTGTCTTCAGGACTCAAAAGATTAAAGTCTCTTCCAGTAATCTGCCAAAATACTCTCCTCACTAAGTTATCCATTAAGTAACAGCAAGTAATTTTTCTAATTTAATAGGTAGCACTCCATCGTCCTCTCTGCACCACTGCAAGAGTCCTGCTGAGAAAGTACATGTCTCTTGAAATATTTCCATATTTAAGATGCATTAGACCTTATTATAGCACACATCTTCTTTCTTTATGTGGAATGACAAGTAACATCAGTGGTGCTTGTCGGGGATATGATATTACCCAGCCATTTCATACGAGCTGCAGACTCTGACCTCCGATAGTCATATGGAATAGGCAATGAACAGATATATTGCTCCTGTCTACAGCAGTAATACAGTTCTTTTCTAGAAGGGAGTAAAGCACTGTTTCCAGCATTTACACTTCTTGTTTGAGCATAACTGCCTGTGACCATCACTCTCAATCCTGATCTTTTCTCAGTGAAGCTTGCAATGTCTTAGTGCTTTCCTAATACTAATGAATTTATGTTTTCCTTCTCACTGATCTTGTGACAATGTAAATTGTAATCACAGCTATAAATCAGGAATTATGTGGAAAAGAAATACTAACACCAGGAAATTACAAGCATGAGCTGCATCAGTGTATTTGTTCAACAGAGCAAGGGAAACCATATCCTATAACCTGTCTCCTACTCAGACTTACATTTTACCTGTATTAAGTTGTACTATTTCAGTGGAGCTTGGACTTCTCTGGAGTTTGATTTTATTTAACCTAAGGCAGAAGTAAGGTCTCTAAGGAATTTAAAATCTCTGAGTATTCTTCCTGTTTTCTAAACACAGACCCACAGCCTGGTAAAAATTTAACTGCTATGAGGTATTACGATGACCAAAAACTTAGCTGGTCTCAAGAAAGACAATACGCACCTTACCGGTTTAGGGGATAAAAATCACAGAAGTTGGAAATAAACATCTTCCCCTAGCAAATTATTCCATAAATATTTACTGGAGGTTTTCCCACATGATCCTTGGGAAAACATTTTACTACTAGACATGGGCAGAGGAAGAACTCTTATTTTTCACCAGTAAGCAGTGAACACAAACGAGTCAGAATTAAATTCTGACTTTCCAATGTTTCCACTTTACAACAAATTCAAAGCCTTTTGGGTGAAGTTTCCAACTGCGTAAGCACCATTTTACACACAAAATACAGGTGAATACATTCTGTACACAAATCGCTCAAAATGCACATATAGTTACATCCCTTGTACCATTTCCTACCACAGTTGAGATTTCAGCCTTTGAATTTTTGTCCAAGGAGCACATCACCTTACAGTGCACAGCATTTGTTATTCCAAAACCTTGATGCCCTTTGGAAACTCTAATGATTGCAGTGCCATTAAATTGGAAATACTTGCTTGGAGTTCATCTAATGTGCTTTCCAAGGCAACAAGTGCTTATGTCCATTACTGCTGAATGGACAGAAGACATGACTTGTTAATGACTATAATTCATGCTTAATATGCTAATCTTTCTCATAAACATGAAGGCAGTAACACAATTGTTTACATAGCACTGATGAAATGGTAGCTTAAACAGTAATTAAAAAATAAGACTGTGAAGCAGCACAAGCTTGTAACTGTTTTCTCCCCTTCTCTTTTACTGGTTGTTATCTTCTAGTTATTTCCCACTGGTTTACACTAGATACTAGAGACCAAATTGTCCAAGGTATGGACAGAGAAGCAGAAGGCGTGAGCCTTCATCAAGTCTTAAAAATCATGTGCCAAACGTCTGTAAGGAAAGACTCCAAAATAGCCGATTCTGCCTTGGGGCTGGACCTGGTGACAGTGGGAGACACCTTCCATACTCTGTTTCTAATGCTAGCTGAGAAACACTCAAAGCAACTGCACAACCTATGTGCTGCTCACTCTCTACCATCACCTGAACACAATACTTTTGAAGAGTGTTCATAATTCAAATAAAATCTGACTATAAAGTTGAGGAGCACTAAGATCGTTTATGTGTGTATATACAGGTATATTAAAAGCCTCCTTCTAGTGCATCCTTTTCTGTATGTATGTATATATTCACACACACACACAAAAGGATGCACTAGAAGGGAGCTTTTATAAATCACTCTACAGAAAGATAACAGTGATGAGCAAGACACCACTGTCACAGTAGTACTAACATTATTAATATATGCTGCACCAAAGAAGGAGCACTGCGGAACTGAAAAGTAACACAACGCTGAACTGCTGCCCATATTTCTCAGCCCAGTAATGCTGCATCTCTGGTATCACTGGTCTTCTCCTGGGCTTATATGATGCCAATGACCCTCATTTCACTCCTGCAGCCAGGAGGAAGACAAGGTGTGAGTGGAACCCACTTTCTCATGCACCCATTTGCTCTGCATGTGGCTGGGCAGCAAAGGCTAGAGAAGAAGCAGGGAAGATGGGACACTTGTTCTTCCCCAAACTTCACTGGGATTCAGAAAATCCCATTCCTCATCTAAAAATAGCAATAATGCCATCATGCTTTTTTAGTATTTATGTACCAAAACAGCCAAAAGATTATGAACCATCATTATGAACATGCATAATCATACAGAGTGCTAAAGACTTCAGCTCCCACCAACGCCAGTCGACAAGAGAAAGGCCCACAGGGAAGCTGATGCAGGTGAGCTCCTCAGCACCATTGCAAGTTTCTGCAATCATCCAGCATGAATACCCACAGCACGGCATTGTCAGCGCACATGGGTGCTGGCTGCAGCCACAGAAACACAGATGCTAGCAAACAGATGCAAGATTGCACATTAGCTTAGCAGTTCTGTGCAGAAAATGCTGTATTAATGTAGATATATTTTCCATTCCCAACCCCCTGAATAAGGTGTCTATTTAAGAGCAAAAATGAAAAGAAAGGGCAAAAGAAGAATTTCAGCTTCACAATTTAAATACTGTAGATCAAGTGTTTACTAAGACTCTTTGGATGGAGAATGTTTTCATAACAGTACATTACGGATGTACATAAATTCATGATACAAACAAACAAGACCTGAAATGATTTTGACAAGTTATCATAGCATAACAATGGAGGAGTTTGGAACAGAACTATTGCTTCTCTACTTGAAATATAAGGTGCACCTTCTGCAGTAAATACATTGCTATTAAAAATCTCCATATGCTCATTTTATCAACTCTGCAGTTTTAGATTCGCAAGTCAAGAAATATCAGGTGTTTGATTTTTCAAAAAGACCTGTGGTTTCTCAGCACTTCAAGGAGGGGCGAAAAAAAAGAAAAGGAAAAAGGAGACTGGAACAGAAAAAGTCTTTGTTAGCTCTGGGTTTCAATTCAGACATCTCTGGCTCACAGTTCAATCATGCTTTTTTGCATGAGCTAGGGGAGACAAAAGCACAAGCTCTTCAAAAGCTTCAAGTATCTTCACTGAATTTGTATAATTTAAAGAATCTACATTTCTGCAGCCATGTAGTTCTTCCCCTGATTAAAAAATTAAAGCAAAAAAAAAAAAAACCCCAACAAAAAGAAAAGCAGGCCATGTTTCTTCATAAATTCCCCTTATCCTTCACAAATGCATTTATTTTTTTGAGCAGAGAAACTCATGTGCTTCTTTCAGCGTCACTTGCATGTCCTCATATTCTGCATATTTGCAAGCATCCTCCAGCTTCAGCCACTGGAAAGCTTGGTGCTCCTCTGAGAGCTTGATTTCTGTGTTACTGTCCTTCACTTCTGCCAGCCAGTAAACAACGGTCTTTGGTTTGCCATGGGCAGGATAGTGCAGTTCTTTCTTGTACCCCTCTATGAGGGTGAGCTGACTGGCCTGAAGACCAGCCTCCTCCTGTGTTTCCCGGAAGGCTGTCTGCAGGTCGTCCTCTCCTGGGTCCACGTGGCCTGTCAAGAGGGTGAAAAAGTAAGTTGCTGAGAAGGAAACTCAGATTTTGTTTCATTTACTTAACTAGGAAACACTGGGACACAGGGATGAGAGTACACTGTAGCTGATACAGAATCAAATGCAAACTGGAGAAGAGAGACTGCTTTTCCAGCTCTTACGGCTTGATTTGTCTTTGTCGTTGTTTATTTCACCTTCTGAAACTCCCAGTGGCCTGTCAAGCACTAGACATCTTTTCTTCAAGTCCTCCTCTTGTCTTCTAAAGCCTGTAATGTTCCGCCTTGGATTGTACTGAGGACTGAGTGTCTCTTCAGTGCCTTTCCTTTATCCAATTAGAGGGGAAACTGCTCATCTGCAAGGTTCTCAGTCCTCTCTCAACCCTTCCCTCCCACAGAACCTTACGGCTTAGTTTTGCAAAACGCTTACTGTTGCCCACAGCCCAGAAACAACATGAGCAGGCACCAACAAATGCCATTTAAAAGGTGGGTTTCAGTTAGGCAGTCAGGGATATTTTTATTTCCCTCCCATATTCCCCTCTGAAACACAGCAAGCCTAAAAGCCAGTCCTTTCACCAGCTGTGCAGTTCTTCTAAGACACATCATTTATTTTATGTTACTCAGAATGAGAGGTGCCATTACAAACAACAGATAAATATAACATATCCCCAGCTGTTTGTACTTTTGTTGAGAAATGTCAGATTTGGTTTTCTCATGAAAGCTCCAGACCAGAACATAAATAGAACAAGCCAAGCAAGATCTCTAAAAAAGCAACATAGCAAGAGTTGGGAGGTTTCAAAAGGAAAAAAAAAAAAAAAAGTTAAGCTTTGTTTTGCCCCTCGTGTCACTCTGTTTTCTATGTAGCTGGCTGTATATATCCATAATTTCATCAGAGAGATGAATCTTTCCTCAGGGCTCAGGTATCCAAAGCCACCCTTTAGCACGAGAGCTGGGGTATGTGGGAAGCTCATTTTGCTTTCCCAACAGGTCTTGCTCACTTCTTTGTTCACGTATCAGAAGCTTAAATACCTCTTACAATTGACATCACCTGAAATGTAAAATATGCTTCGATTTCAAGCAGCAACTGGGCAGAAAACAGCATCTGATGTTGCATTTGATATCTCGCATATTTGACATCAAATACACTGAGACTTTAAGTAAAAGTATTTTTCCCCTGAGTCGCAACAGTGCAAGTCAAGCAGTCTTCTTTTTGACAAAGTATGTATTTCCATAGCTGGGACTTACAGCTAATGGTTGAGAAACAGAATCCACTTGGCCTTGTACAACTGGATTACTTTTACAGTACCTGCAGCAAATGCCCACAGAACATTCATGAAGAGTAAGCAACCACTATGTTTTATGACACTCACGATCTGCAGACACCAAATGTGCAATGAGTTGAGGTAGCAATAGCACTGGGGGCTGAGATCCAGTTTCAACTCAAAGAACATCCATGCAACCTTCTGCTCTCCAGCACACCAAAAGACAATCACCTCACCCCGCTGTTGATAACCTCAGGTCTAAGCTCAGTAAGTTTCCAATTTTGTGTAGTACAGTCTATCTACTGGGTCGAAAAAGGGCTGGTGGCAGCACGTCACAGCTTCAGATCCTCCCAGCCATTTGCACTAAAGCAGTTCCAATATGCTGAGGAGGAAATGAACCCTGCACCCCCTTCTCATCAGCCTCACCTAATGCAAAGTCACAGTTCTGGGAGGAGAGATGAGGCTGATGAACCCTGTGGCTTTTCATCTATAAAAACTTAAACAATACATAGAGGGAGGTGAGTCTTCCCCTCTATACTCTGTTCTGGTGAGCCCCCACCTGGAGTACTGCATCCAGCTCTGGAGCCCTCAGCACAGGAAAGACATAGACCTGTTGAGGCGGGTCCATAGGAGAGACATAAAACTGATCAGAAGGATGGAACACCTCTCCTGTGAGGACAGGCTGAGAAAGCTGGAGTTCTTCAGTCTGGAGAAGGCTCCGGGGAGACCTTCTGTCAGCCTTTCAGGCCTGACAGGGAGCTTCTAAGAAGGATGGGGACAGGCTGTGGAACAGGACCTGTGCCAGCGGACAAGGGGCAAGGGTTTTACACTTACAACAGCCGACATTCAGGTGAGCTACAAGGAGAACACTGTTTACGACGACAATGCTGAAACACTCCAACAGGTTGCCCAGAGACCTGAAAGATGACCAGGACTCTGGGAACATTCCAGCTCAGGCTGCCTGGGGCTTGAACACAATCGCGTCTAGTGGAAGGTGGCCCTGCTTAGTTCTGGGCAGCTGGACCAGAGGAACCTTTCAAGGCCCTACCCAATCCAAACCATTCCACAATTCTATGATATTTTTTTTCATTCCCTACTGAAATGCCTACAAGTAACTTCAAACGCTTGTCCAGAATTACTGTGTTCCCAGTGAACATTTCCATATGGATCTCCCCTCTTACAACAACCAATCATGTCCCAGCACATATTTTTTAGCTTTCCAATGCTACAAACTCTACTCCCTTAGGCTTTTGGTGAAGGGGACAAAGGGGCAGGTTTGGAAAGTTCTGTTCTTTCCCTTAATAGGACAGCATTGCTGATACTGTTACAAGTTTTTTTCCAATTTGTGAATTCCTGGTTACAGGCTGCTCCTGCACCAAGCTTTTAAAAGCACTGCATTTTACAAAACAAGAAGTAGAAACTAGCAGAAAGACATCTCAGAGGGTAAAAATTAGCATACAAGACCATCTACAAGGAACCTGAACTATTTCTGTGCCACGCTTTTCTTGATACCAGGGCTGCAGCTATGTATTACCAAACACTGGCTCTGCCACGTGTATTTACAGACAAGGTGTTCCTGCATGTCTTGGGGCACAGGGCTTGTTGTCTCCTTCTGGGGCCTCACTGATAAGTGAGGATGGCTTAGTAAAAGATGGCTGGTAACACTAATTCTCCTAAAATTCCCTCTCATCTCTGCAGCATTAGGTATGTGCTCTTCACCAATGTTCTCCTGAAAGTAAAGAAACTCCTGCATCTTTTAAGAAACTTGTTTTCAAGTAAATCATCACCCATTTCAGTTTGCCTTCTAATATTGAGCTGCAAACCATGCCCCTTCTAATTACACATAGGTCAGACAACACATTGGTAACAGTGGTATCTGGTGGAGAGTTAGACCGCGAGTGAGAAGGCAGAAATTTCTCTAGCTGCCTCATTTCAGTTGTCTGCTCAATGTCTGCCAGAAACATCAGATATCTGAGGAGCATGGTGGGTGACCTCCTCAACCCCAATCAGTCCTGCACAATAGTTTATACAGTCACAACTTGCAAAGAATTTTGGCCATAAATCTCCCCACCCAGCTGCACAAGCAGCATAATCAGGCAAAATGCATTATCAGTGGCTACCTTCAACTGATAAACTGCCCCTCAAAGCTGACCCTCCCAGCATTCAGCCAAAGTTCAGTCTGTAAGCTCACTCGCTCGGACACAAACAACCTTGAAGTGTGTTACCAGAACAAACATCACCTTTGGGTGGGGTCCAGTGATGGGTCCCATAGGATGTCTGAAGGAGGAGGTATTCAATACCATCAGTGACCTTAGAAGATGGTGCTGACTGCAGCCTCCTGTAGATGATCAAGCCACAGGCTCTCACAGCCATGCCCTGCTGTTAACCACACTGTGGAAGAGCAGAGGATCAAGCAGGAACAACATAGAACTTGGAGCTCAAACAGACTCATTGTATTTAGCTAGCAAACATATCTCAGCATGCACTGAAAGTCATTCATCCCATCATAGTTAATACACAGTAAAGCTGCATCTTATTAATTATATTTGAATTGTAAAACTCTGAGTCCTTGCCTTTTAAGAAAAGGAAGCAGGAACTGATACAAAAGCTTTTCTTAAAAATAAAGTTGTCAGAAGCATGAAATGTGACTTGCATGTAATTGCTGCTGATACATTACAAATCACACTGTAGAAAGGAATAAAAATGCTAAGGCAAAAGGAAAGCCACTAACTAGCATCCTGAAGTTTTTCTACTGCGAAAATCCAAAGGCCCTGTGCAGACATAATACCTCAACATCACTGCAAGTGGCAGAGAAATAACTGCCCAAGACAGATCCCCTGCAGCAGAGAACTCCACAGGATGTCAGTGGCAGAGCTGAGGAAATGATAGACAAGGGACAGGCCCTCTGCTGTCTGAACTAAGCAGGAGGCTGTTACACAAACCCGAAAGCTTCTCGGCATATGTAGTAAGCATTAATTTGATGTAAATAGGAAAAAACACACCTCTGAAGTGATAAATACTGTAATCAATAAGCGACACAACCAGGTCAGCTGGCCCTATACAGAAAAAGAGAGAAAACAATTAAGAAATCCATGTCACAGAATACAGTGACTCCTAGTTCCAGGCAAAACTCTGCATTTTGACAGAGCTGCACATTTCAGTGAGTAATAAATTTACACAAGGCCGTTCTTCCTTGGAATGCCCACTGAGGCATCGTGACACCTCCAGT